TTACTTACAGGAGTTTATTGTACAAGTCAACACCCTCTATATCACTTTGCTAATGTGGACTTTTTATAGGCGCTTGAAAGCTGGTATCTGGTATTGTAAACATGTAAATATCATAAGGTGAATAAATTAAAAATCAAAATAGATGTCATTTATTGAATACGTTGCTTTATTAGGAGGTTTATTTTTGTAATCTAACTAAAACTTAACTCATTAAAGAAGAGAATCTTGATCTTTAAGAGGTCTTTAATTTAGGACTAGGTACCTCATATGCATATTAACGGATTATTAGATACTGTTAAAAGCGCATAATAGTGTTATGTCTTTATCCTCGATTTAAGCAGACATCTCATTGTACGTGTTAACGAATACATTGTTACAGTATACGCAGATCTTTATTACCGGAATGTATTTGAAATTCCAACTGTGTCTATGCTCATACCTAAATCAAGTTCTTCTTAAGCTAGTGTTTAATAGTGGTTTCATTATCTATATTTTATGTTTTATATATTTTCAACCACTAGTTCCCAGGATATTTACTACCTAACACATTAAACACCATGGGGTCCCTGGTGGCTAACGTTAGCTGAGGATTTGCCTCCAACAATTTTCTATTGGCAGTCAAAGCCTTAATTGTTCATTACACAAACAATGCGTTGCCTAATACTGTTAATTTTACTGCACGGTTGGTGCGATGGCTGGGCAACCGGCTGCCGTGCTGGGCAACGGTTTGTGTGATCCACAAATTGATGTTTCAGGTCTGGGTGTCATGTGTATGTGAACTTGTATGTTTGTAAACGCATCCACGACACAGAAGATAATCCTAGTGCGGGGCAACGTTTTTTTAAAGAAAAAAAATACAGTGTATGTTTATTAGTTTACCAAATATTTTTCAGCACTACAGCGCTAGTAATCCACTACATTAAAAATGCGATACTCTCTCTGTTAACTTTTTTCGCTTTAATCATCAAACCACTTTTAATTAACTTTAACACTAAAGTAGAATAGATTCGGATGAAAGTTCTAAATGATGCCCTTTAGCCTAAGAACGATGAAGAAGCCCATCAGAAGTTTACTGAATAAAACCATCCTATGTGTCATATCAAGAAGAGGAAGAAGACTGTTTCTAGGAAAAGAAGTCAAATTAAATAAAATAAAATGTAGAAAATAACACAACAAAAGTAATTGGTAGTTAGTCTAAGGTGCGAGACAAAACAACATGGCCGGTGACGGTGAGTCTGCAATAGTTGTCAGACAACTCTATTCAGATCGTCTGGCGACTACGTGGCTCATTTGAATGAACTTGTTTTTCAGAAAATATCACCTATTGTCATATGACTGTGACCCAGTGACTGAAAGTATATTAGGGTTTTTATGGGATACGCTGGTAAATGACCTCACGGATCACCTGATGGTAAGCAATCAGCGCCGTCCATGGACACCCGAAACTCTGGAGGCGTTACAAGAGCGTTACTGGCCTTTTGAGGATTAGGAATTTGAAGATTGTTGAGGGCTCAGGGATCGCGGAGGGGAGTAATTGGGCCTCCGGTAACCTCACTCCCACGATAAAATACAACGCAAGTATTGTTTCACGTCGGTTTTCTGTGAGGCCGTGGTATCACTTCGATCGAGCCGGCCCATTCGTGCCGAAGCATGGCTCTCCCAGACTTAGCTGCCACACTAATACCTTTTTCTAGTCTTATTTATAGTAATTAGGCATTCCGCAGCCTATGCACCACCGCAACAATAAAGGAGAATAGAATAGATTAGAATAATCTTTAGTTTACACCGATTTGAGTCAGTCAGTCAGTATATCAAGCTACAAATTCAAGAGGAGTTACAAGTGCGTTGTCTGCCTATAGGGGAGGGGATTAAGCCTGACCTTACGGCATCATCGCCCTAGTAAAGGTATGCGTCACTCCGGTTGTCAAATGGGTATACCTAATGGGGATGAACCAGGGTATGAAAATTAAAAATATAATTAGTCCGTAAGTTAGGTAATGAAAAAATATTAGACACGTATTTTTTTATTTTGTCGTATAATAAAACAATGCTTAGATAAAACGAATCAAAGTTTAGGAGTGGGGGCAAAAACGTCATTTCTTAGTATAAATTGTACTGAGAAGTGACGTCACGCGACATTTCAAATCAATATATCTTCGAAACTATTCGTTTCTGTGAGAAAATAAAAAATACGTGTCTAATGTTTTTAAATAATCTATCAGACGGACATTAAAATAAAAATTAGTCGTCTACCCTATTGTCGCTACAGGTACACAGAAGCCCAAAGTCTAATCAAGAATGTGATATCACCCTTAGCAGATTGATAATGTTGGTAAGGTACAAGATTACAAAATAATGTGCTAAACCCTAGTGTCGATGCTAACCACGTATAATAAAAAGGTTGAAAGAAAGAAATCATCCTGAGGCCTTAGTACGAGTTTGTTTTACGTTTAAAGTATTCGAAACGAGTACACGTTCGGCACTCTGATTGGACGACGCAAATAAACCAACCAATCAGAGCGTCGAACGCGTACTCGTTACGATTACTATACCTTCAGACATTTCATTAATTTTCGATTTCGGTGTTAGTCTTGACACAAACATATAATATCAAAGAGTCAAGTCAAGAATCGTGTGTTATACGACGACTGCTTATTACTCTAATTTTTATCTAGTAACTAAGTTTGTTTCTTACTATCACGTGTTATTTAATAAGGAACCTCCTTCCTATGATAGTTATTCACTGCATAACTGCAATTAGACATTTTTATTTAGATTTATGAATCTTTCCATTAGTGTTAGAGATGTGTTAATGTTCTAAGTAAGGTAAATGTTTATCCTCTTACTCATAGTAAAATAATTTATATCTATCTACTAAACTAAATTTTAGTTTGGTTAGATTACCTTTATAATCTAAATTTTCCTGTGTTTAAAATTTTGAATCATATTTTAATCTCTGGGTCGATAATAGCTGTTTTTGTTTGTCTTTTTATATGAAACGTTACCTAATGTAGTAACAAATGTAGTAAAAAAGAGGACCCAATGTAGTAACAAATGTACCTAGTAATACAAATTAATTTGTATTTTATTTCCAAAAGCATTATCAAAAGAGAGAGATTTTAGTAGATGAACACTTATTATTTAGAAAACATTAAAGCTAATACAACCGGGTAGTAAATCTTTACCGAGCTTTTATTTTGTGTTAAGTTTAGATTTTCCTGCACAATTTGTTAAATAAATAATTGTGTTACTACATTAGGACCTCTTTTTCTTTCTTCTAACCTTTCCTAACTTAATTTTGGGTGGTTGTCGTATAAAGTCGATCAGAATTTGTTTAATTTCATAACTTTACATGGTGACAGTACTATCTGCCTTCCACAGCCCGCTAAGGGTGACATCACTTTATAAAATCCATTGTCAGGTTGTTAGGATTCTAGGAGAATCGACTAACTTTCATTGAGTTTTAACCTTACAGTCAGTTGTTTTTTTTTTAATAGAGCGGTTATAAATTTCCTTTTAACCTGATGGTAAGTGACAAGCACCGACGCCAATGGATACCAGCAATACCAGAGCAAAAAGAGTTACAAGTGTGCTGATAATAGGTGCATATAAAAAACATCCATTCTGGTGGTGCTCTTGTAATACTTTCATCTTTGTAAAACTTCTTAGGTATTGATAGCGCACATGTCCAAGGTGTGCACCTTCATTAAGTCATCTGACTTAGAACTTCTAAATATTTCAAGAGAGCGGGCAGCAGCACTCCTTAATAAATCCGAACCTTTTACACGACGATCTCCAACCTGCCTGCCTAGCATGAAGATTATGGCAAACCAAATAGAAGAGAGTAGAAGAGGCCCATAGTCGTGGACTGTCGCAGGATGTAGATGTTTAAAGATTCTACAATCTCATCTCATCTCAGCACAACGTTGGCTACAAAGTAAGGAAACAATGGTATTGGTATTAAGAATTCAGGAATAGCCCCTAGTTAAAAACTCTAACAATCAGTGGCGTAGCGTGCCTTGGCGGCGCTCCGTATAAAAATTTGTTTAGGGCCCGTATGAAGCGTATAGATTTCACACAAGTGAAAAAGTTTATGCATAAAATACTAATAATTTATGTGAAAATTGGAAAACTCTCTAGATAATTCCTTAGTGGCTTGGTAGTTTAATTTTTCTAAAGTTTCTGCCAATCTTTGGACGCTTTATGCAGGTAAAAAATTTCGACTTTTGTGATTACTAAATCAAATAAAAATTTGGTAGTTTTTATTAAATTTTGCTTACGCATGTTGGGGGCCACCGTATGATTGATACGGTGCTACCTCCGTCCTTGCTTACAACACTTTGTCCAACCCGGAACCAAAACGGGTCGTCTGGTTTGGCTAGCTATACCACGCAATCATAGAACCTTTGTAGCTACCCTTTTTTGTCAACTGATCTAGCCGAGTTTTCAAAAAGGTTTTATGACAGTCCTATGAGGGTTCTGGAGACTGATAACATTTGATTACTTAACTTCAGGAAGAATTTAAATCAATAATCTTTAGAACGCCGTCGCCTTCAACTTTTTGTCTGCAGTCTTTGAATGTCTTATTTCTGTTCATAGATTTTTAGATATATGCCACCTGCATGAATATAAAGGGTAAAAAATCCCATCCAGTGATCGAATGATCACCACGGGTAAAGTAGTAAATTTTTCATTGCTCTTCATTTATCCATGCAATTACATATTAAGTATCTTGAAACGTTGATAAGATTTATATTATCTTGCAAAGGCGCGGGAACTAATGTACCGATTTTAAAATTAATAATCATCTGGAAACTTTTTAGAAAAGAAAGTAATTTACAAAAGATTAATACCATTAATTGGTTTAAGGAAATTCTCCATGAATTCAAATAGGTACGATCCAAAGTCCACAATAGTTTCTTCAGGCTATAAATATTAAAAGAACACCGTAGACAGGTAAATAAATCATTTTATATATAAAAAAAACATATAAACCTTACCTTTCGTCACCTGTTGCTTTGTCCTCAATTTCGGCGGTTCATAAAACACATTCAAACAATAAAGAATCCTTTATTACACTCCAGTTCACAATCCACAGTTTTAACACATTGACTTAAACAAAATACATGGTTCTTCTTCTACACAAATTAATTTAACAGTACTAACAGTCAATGAAACAATTTTATCGTTAATTGATATTATGAAAATTAGTTCCTGTATCTGTCACAAATCACAAATCAGTGCTGGCGTGCCAACTGCATGAGCAACTACCGCAAACTCGACCGCACTACACTTCATTAGCGCGTATACAGCGCAACATACCCACTACAATTTGGGTACGACACACAATTATCACCCATATAACTTTGGTATAGAACATATTTTCCTATTACGTGTTTAGGTTTCATCTTGTAAGATGACAAGGGAGTATACACTTTGTGTGTATTGAGATAGAGTTTTGTATGTCGTGTGTCCGGTAGAATGATGCGAACAGGCTAAGTGACCGAAGCCCCGCCTCTGACGTATTGACAAACAAAGCGATTGGCGGTGAGGTGAGCGCTCTAGCGAGGCAATCCTGCGCAACATTGAGGCGGTCACTTAGATAACACTTGTATTTCCATAAATTTTACCTCCAATTACATTTTATGAAATATGTTTCAATTATTTTGTAATATTATAATGTTAAAAATTATTATAATCCAAGCCAATCCAGTTGGTAGAAATGGAAAATTCTAATTAATTAAAAACCAAATAAAATCTTTAAATTATATTATTAACTAATTCTAACAATAATATCTTAATAACAAATTACTTACCTACGAATAAACAGCTACGTTCCTTAATAACAACTCAACCCGTTAAAAAGCTCGAAAGAAACCAAAAGGAAATCTTCAGTTTTACAAAAAAAAAATTGCGTCTCTGACTTCTGACTCTCCTATAAAGAAAATTAGACCAACACCATTATCTTTCTTTTAACTGAAATTAATTTATTTCTCCTCCCCCGTAGTTAATACCATGATAATATGTAGCCTACATGTTGACCCGACCTGTTAGTAATAGGTATTCATACAAAATTTGAAATAAATATATGTATGACAAAAATTCTAAAAACCATATTTTTGGTTTCGGTATCGATTGTAGATGACGCCTAAAGCATTCTTTTAAACAATATTCGATGTACAGTTTTCACTTTTCTACGTTTTATTATATGTAAGTATAGATTCTTACCGAAGACATAAAATTAATTTCAAAGTGCAGTAAGAATGAAAATTCATATAGGTACCTAATTTTACGCAATATAAATAAATTAATTATTAATTATCAAAGTTCACTAACTAACAGATATCTTATTTTGAACCGAACTGTATGTACGAATGAATATGTGCAATGTGTAAATTCAACCAAGATCTTTTAATATTAAATTAAAACTAAACTTGAACTTTATATTGTAGGTATATACTACCTATTTATTTTTCAAATCAAGTAAGGTTCATATATTCATGAGGTACATAGTTCCTTGCTGAAGATCTAAGCTATCTCTTCTACCACCATTCCAGGATTGTGACACACCGTCGGCCGTCGCGTCGCTTATTTTGACCAAGCTATTATGCAATTTATTCTCGGTGATTTCAAAGTTCCTAATTGATTAAACAAAGCATACACTACCCCTAACAGGACGTGTGACCCTATTATTGTCCACGTCCACTGCCTAGAACGAGAGTAATAGGACTAATAGTTGGGATCGAAGTTAGCCATGTTAGATGATAATGAGAACACAGGTTTCAGTACTTCGGTCGGCCAAAAGGATTAGATGTTGATTTCAGTCAGACTTTCCGGTGCATACCAAGAAAACCTACCTATGTTAAAAATAAATGATCTAACTGGCGAAGGATATGCATGTCTACTGTGGATGCAGCTAAAACTGCCTACCGCTTCATGGGATGTCAGGCATGCTTACATTTGGTATAAAAAGCCAGCTTACAAAATAAGTCTTATTACCTACATATACAAAGTCTAAATTTATATAAAACCTAAACTAGCTTATGCATGTTGTTAGACAAAACCTATGTAGAGGTACATGAGTACTTACCATTAAATTCTGAGTTGGGTTGGTTGTAAGCGACCTGTATTCAGGCTTTCTGCTCTTCAGCGAAACTTATAAATACTCTTTCGTAATTAATGTGATACCTGTAAAAGTAACTAGTATTTTGGTTCACTCTTATTATACTGAGGCGACATCTGAATAAAAGTACCCGTTAACTTATCTGTTTGGCTTATCAATCAAGTAATAAAGTTTAACCCAACTACAAGATTTTGCTCTCAGTCACGTAACGTCAACGACATTTGATTTAAACAACAGACATTCATTGTTTAATTTCCAGAATAAGATAGAAGAAAAAAATATTCCCGCAAAAATGCTACGTCTCTAGGTATAATAAAATTTTACTATTTCGAACAAAAAGTCATCTATAAAACCTGTTTGTCATCATTATAAATAAAGGAAATAATGAAAAGTCATTTTAATTTGCCTACTTTATTACCACACTGTAAACTTAAACGCAGATATTATATTTGCATACAAATCTATAAATATACTACGAATTTTTCTATAAAAACTTCTTTACTTCACATTGTTACACGTGTATGTAAGTGTACATACTGAGGCGTTCATTAGAAAACTAGATTACCTACTTATACAAGTAGATAGTTGCGAAAACTTTCCCTTCTTCAGACATTCGAAATGAAATCGAAGTAATATTTCATATACAGTTCTCTTGAAGCAATAGGAGCCCTGTAGATACTCCTGGCGTTGTGGTGGCCCGGAGGTTTAAGACGCCCCCGCTTCTCATGCATGAAGGTGAGGGTTCGAAACCTACCGACGGCAAGTACCAATGTGACTTTTTCCGAGTTATATGTACTTTCTAAGATTATTCAGACACTACTGACAAACGGTGAAGGAAAACATCGTGAGGAAACCTGGGCTTATAATTTCTAATTATAAGTTTGTAATCGCCAACCCGCATTGAGCAAGCGTGGTGATTAATGCTCAAACCTTCTCCATGTGAGAAGAGGCTTTGCTCAGCAGTGGGCATTTATAGGCTGTTGATGATGAAGATACTCCTATAGACTAGTAGTTTGTAGCCCAAGAATGGCTAGGATATGATCGATAGGCAATGAAATATAAAACAGCTTTCACAAGGTACAAGTTGCACGTCATGTGTATGAAGACAAATGTACCTCCCGCGAGGAACTGCTGTAGACACCTAGTCAGCATTCCAATGCATCGGCCCGCCTCACCCAGTTACGGTCTGCCGGCCGACCAAGTGCTAATTGGAAAAGGAAACCTCAAACAACGAGCCAGCTCAATGCTCTCCACAGAAATGTTTCATTTTTAAACATCTCAGTGACCGTTATAAGTGTTATAACCGATAGATAGGTACCCAATGCACTGGACGAGTCGATGACCAGAGCTCATGATCTAGGTTAGCTGAATAGATGAAACATATTCATTTCTGCGTAGTATTAGAAGAGTAGTGTTAGTAAGTAATATATGTGATAAAGAATGATTAATTTATGTGACACATTGAAACAAATGCCTATATACTTATTCAGATATACTATGAATTATCTAAGAATTGGGTTGAATTCGATTTTTTTTTAAAGTAGTTTGAAAAATAATTATTTTGTTTTTGTAATAGATAATGAGATAAAGTGCTTGTCAATAGCGGAATTTCCATTGCTAGATTTTTCATGAATTAGTTGCAGTTATGTATAGTAACTACGTAGGTCATTTTATGTTCTGCGTTCTGTTTACATAGGAACTTACGTAAATGAATAAATATTTTTTTAACGAAAAGCTTGTTCAAAACTTGCTGTGGTCGGTAAGTTTCAACCCTGTCCCTTCTCAGAAACTACTGAACCAAAATCCTGCGAGTCTATTTACTCAACGATACAAAGTAGACAATTTTGGAACATTAGTGGTTTGGTCTAACAATTACTTTGACAAACTTTTCTGTTCCTAAGAACCTATGGTTGACATTCTGCTTAAGTAATCATATGGAAGTTATTGAACACCATATTGTGTTTAGAGGTTAGATATCTAAGTGGGTACCAGATTACCAGTGACTTGAAACATCAGTCCAATGTTGATTATTCAAATATTTTTATTTCAATAATATATGACTACATAACGATTAAAGTACCTATAGCACACAGTATCCAAACAAACAAGATAACCGAAGGACACGAAAGGAAATCTGTCGGAGAAGCGTAGTGCGAGCACGCGCACACGGCTGCCCGTAAACTCAGGCGCAGTGTTTATTCGGAGCCCCATGCTAACTCTACCGTTTAAACACTACGTGCTAGCAGGGCATGAATTAACTTTTCATATAAATAAAATTCACGCTACTCTAACCTCCCGAAATTAACACCTTGGCGTAAATACTATTTAGTCTCGTCATCTCGTGGTATCTCTCTTCAGTGGTTTGTTGAATGGCCGTGTCGTTTATGGTTCACAAGATTACGTTGGCGGTCGTTTTAATTGCCAACAAATACGTATAAAGCCAATTAGACACCTATCCGACAACCGTAGCTGTGACCGCGCGAGCTACTTTATTTTCTTGTGATCCGTTTCATTATCGGTTTTTAACCTAATTAATTTGAATAACTTGCTTTTTAATTGGTTTCAAATTGAGTGAGTCTTTTCTTCTTGTAGATACGTATCTACTTACGCAGAAAATTGTTGTTTTTCATTAAAACATTTGAACTGTCTAAGTAGTAAGAAGGGAATCTTATGTAAGTACCTACCTATTCAGTGTAGATAATTGTCTGTACCTACATAACAAAAAATGTGCCTATTGTGTAGAAATAGGAAGGAAAGTATGGAAAGGTTAATTTATCACCTATGATCAATTAACTTTTCCCACCAACCACCCAGACAACAAAACTATGATAGAAAGATTTGCCATAAGTCTTATCTTATCATGACAAGATGGTCACATTGATCGCCCGTCGGATCTGGATATACCTAAATACCTTCGCATCTACCAAAAGCCAGTACCAATCTCCATAAAATCCGTTACCATTTCTGAACACGTTCGGTACTAAATCTCTTCGGTTATATAAATACGATTTAAAAACATATAAAACTATTTTTTATATTTGCTCGTTTAACTCTAGAAACACCAAATATTTTAATGTCATTTAAAGCGTTAACAAAACGCTAAAGATAGCAGTTTCGGACTGTCATGATAGAAAATCAACATTTACATACCTCCATTTTGAATTCTCAACTTCCCAGATGTGTCTACAATACATAGATACATACAGTCAATATTTAGGGTTCCCTCAATAGTATCATCAGAACCACTGTATTCATTTATCGTGAACAAGATACCGTAAGATACCGTACTTACAAGATTTACTTTATTTAAAGTACCTACTTTCCTATCTAGCTTAGTAATTTAAGGCTAAGTAAATCTAAGTCTGTCTTGGGTACCTATTTACCTATCATATTATTGAAATCAAATTAAAACACTTAGCTTGAATCAGTATTCAGTCAGAATACTTATCTATAAAACCATATAGGCAGTAGGTACATATCTAATTATTGCCCTGAAGTTTTATTTGAAACTTATTGAGGTACCTACTTACCTAGAGGTATAATGTATAACTCAGGTAGGTAGGTACGTATTTACCTATTTATTTAGTTAGTAATTATCCCCTGAAAGCTACAATTATTAAAATCTATGAACTATGTTTGTGGTAACTTATTATCGAGTCAATTGGAAAACCTACAGGCCCTCCCAACAAAACACTATTGGCTAAGTTTATTGAACCAAACACGTCGCTCTCACTGTCTCAGATTTTCTGTTAGTTCTACCTACTGCCTGCCTCTACTTTACGATTCCGTACGTAAACTTACAAACAACGTCGCACCGAGTATCCGCCATACTCGTCCACTTTACTGTTTGTTCATGGTGACATGAAACGTGTTCGATAATTATTGGAAGGATCAATAACGCCACGGCAAGTATTCGTCTCTCTGTCAACAAGTTTTATGAGCCTCGCGTCGCCCGCTGGACCTACGTTTCTATTTGAATGTTAATTTCAAACTCAGTTTATTTTAACTAACTCAATAAGTAATGCTGACGTGAGGGAATGAAAAGTTATCGACTAATTGCAAAGCTATAACTTTGCACTAAAATTTCGGTATTTTTCTACAATAAAATTTTACTACCTAAGTCCTTGTCATGTCGCCGCGAGTAGACAAAACTATTCATAACTGACTAAAGGTATTTCTACAATAATACTTAAATAGGTGCTTAAGTACATAGGTCGAGTAAATCGACCTGAGAATCTATTCTGAGATCCTTTCACCTTGGTGACCATCAGCAATATTTCAGCTATAAGGGTTTAATTGAGGGAGAGCAGTTTAAGCATTGAGGTGTTAAAAATTGAAAAGATCAATGAAACTTCACCCGACCCGGAAATCGATTCGAAGTGACCTGACCAACAAAGTAGAAAAATCTCAGTTGCAATAATATTAGAAAAGGAACCGATTTGTCGTTTGCATAACATAATTTTATTAGAGCAAAAATACTCATCGTGGGAGGTATTATGCAAATTATTTTACCTGTAACTGCCAGTATCCAAGACAAACAGAAATACGCCTTATCCTAGTTTGCTTAGGTTTATGATGCGTGTGTAAAACACGATCATTTCTTTGACCATTCTTTGCCGAATAACCCAAGCGCCGTGCAACAAAATACCGATTTCTGCCGCCTTATTTAAATAATTATGAATTAAAAATTCACCAGTTTGTGGTTTGTTATGTCCAAGCAAATTGGTAAAGGTGTTTGTTGTTCGTGCATTCTTTATACTAACTTATATTATTCCCTGACGTTACCGTGTGTTATTTTTAAACTAAGTAATGGTCGATGGTGACTAGAATTATCACATAACATGTACAGTAAATAAACAAAAATGTTTTATTCCTTAGGTAAGCTTTTTCGTGCTTGATTATTCAAGGATTGATGAAGGTATTGATGTAGGTAGATAGTTGAGTATCTCAGCTGTTTTAATTAATTTAAAAAAAGGTTCTATCCCAACATTACGGTTTTTAATCTCATTCACATTACGCATTCACCAAACAACAGTTGTTTCGTGCGGGACGCGTGGCAATTCTTACAGCCAGTAGGCCAGCCTGTGTATCAAGCGTACAGTATATCAGTTCTATAAAGATTTAAAGTTGCACTTTTAATAGGTAAGGTACCCTATACTTGGCGGAGCGTAATTTTTGAGAAATATTAAATTAATCTAAATGAAATACCGCTAACAAGTTTGCTCATGAAAAGTGCATTTTTTAAATAGGTGGAACTTTGGACGTCGGAGGAATTGTTACAGATACGTTATTTCATACCTAATACTTATACGGCCAATTGAAATCGGTTTTTATCAGCACATGGACTGGTGTGCATTTCAGTGCAGATTTGAGATATGCACTCACACTACAATCCATATAAACACGTATATTTGTACGACTGCTTATGATTTGTGCTGTCTCTTAATTTGTGTGTGTGTAGTGTCCTCAGAGTACCGCGAAAAATATAGTCGCAATAGGGGAACTACATAAATGTTCACACTAAATTCTTGTTACGTACCGTGTGTAGACTATAATCTGATAACTTCAATAAAGGAGATAAAATAAAAGGATTCATAATAGTAATGCATATATTTTGTTTTATTATAACATGAAAAAAAAATGTGACAATTTGCATAATTGAATTGAGTCCGAGGACAATAACTCACTACTCCTACGAGCATATATCGAACACAACAATTCGCCCTGAGGGCACAACACAACATTCGTAACATATTATACATTCCTTCACAAAAACATTGCGTAGGAGTAGTATTGCTAGACCCCGAGTGTGATATTATATCAAATAGCTTACAATCTTTATCTCCTTCTCCTTTACTAACTTTACTCACAAGTGAATTTTATACACAGCCTTATTATAAAATAAAACCCACTGCCGCGAATTTAAGCCCGGATACATTTCCAAAATTGATTTTTAATCAGAACTAGCTATGTCTATCCTAATTGAAAGTTACATCGTCGTCCTCATCATCGCCCTTTATTTAAACATTTTCACATAACATGAATACAACCGTATTCCATAATCTCGTTCATTACCAATTTTATCAGTAAATGAATCACGACCGAGCAGAAATAAGAATGTAATTCTAGGAGCGTGCCGAGTCGACAGGGCAGTGAGCAGAGTGCACAGTACGTTTACATAAGATTCAACAATAGCAAGGATCAGCCGTGCTGTCAAATGTTCCGCATTCCAAACACAGACCAAATAATGATAGCTTGCCGTAACGTCACGACTGATCACAGCAGTTATTATTCAACCTTACAGCTTCGAATGCACTTCGACGTAAGGGCTAATTCACGGTATCCCAGTATAAATAATTTGACGCGGCTACAGCATATACATATCGTGTGGCCGACATAAACATGTCACCTAGCCCTTTCATATTTATACATACATATTTCGAAACAGGGTTCAGTGATACTGGGAACCTTAGTACGTTGGTAAACCGCCCTTATGTCGCGGTGTGAACGAGGGACGGCGGCCGAACTTAGTCCTTAGAGGAGGTGTCCATGGGGCTAGCGGGCTGCATGATGGCAGGGTTGGGCATAGGCGAGGCGGACAGAGGCGCCAGCGGGGCCGCCGGGGGCGCCAGGGGCGCTATTGGAGGCTCCAACGGCGCCACGCGAGGTATTAAGCCCGCGGCGCCTGGAATTGCAGGTTTCACGAACCTGTCACTTGTGCGGCGAGTCTGAAACAATATTAACATCATATTAGTTGGACAAATTAATCTAATAAAAGTATCTCTTCTCTCGTAGCACTCTAAATGACTAATTGGTATGAAATACATTAAAAAGTTAGGTTTGTAATAAACTTAAACAATAAATTGCATCAGATAGGTCCTATAAAATAAATAGATCGTACAAACCTGAGAGTTGAGATGCAGAGAAGGTCGCGACAGTGGTAGTCCGGCGGCGTTAGGCAACAATGGTGACGCGTATGGTGACAGGGGCCGTGACCCGCCCGGCGACGACACGCTCCGCGATCGTGCCTGCAAATTAACCATTGCAAATTATTACACAACTTCAATTTCTCACAAATTTGTGCCTTTAGCCAAACGCCACTTTAGCGCTTGTCTACAGAGAGAGTAGAAATCAAAATGATGTGGATGACACTGACAAGTGTCAAAATTTACGTCAATCCCATATAATAAGGTTTTCGATTCTACATGTAGACAAGCGCTAAATGGCATTTGGCTACAGCTGCTGTTTACTTAAACTTGATACAAAATTGATGGATGATTGATGGATGATAGCGACTAGCTATTACATACAATACTAGGCATTACAGCCCCACAAAAACGCCATATCCACATGAGAATCTCAGTACTGATTTTACATTATCATGTATCCATTTTAAGATAAATATGACATTAGTAAACTAGTGCTACTACTTACACTGAGAGCTTCGTTAAACTGCCTCTCCTCCTCCATTTCGAGTGAGGACTCGCTTTCAGACAGATGCCGACACAGAGCCTCGCGACGTTCCACCTCTTGCTGCAGTTTCCGCTGTAAGCGAACATTCTCCTCCCTAATGTGCTTCTCTTCAAGCGCAAAGCGATGCATCTTCTCCTTATTCTCGTTCTGAGAGACGGCCAGCTGATTTCTGTTGCACATTAAATAAGATTATTTAATTTAATCATAATATTTGAATTAAAAAAATAAGTACAAATTTTTGCACATATTAATATTTAATTCTTATAATAAATTATAATAGGATTTAATATTTAATTCAACTGTCATCATTCTTGATGTTCTTGTATAAGGATTTTAAATGAGCCACCATTTCGATTCTTCATCAAATTATTAATATCTGAAAAACACACAACACTAATTTTTAGTTGAAGCATAGTTAGTGTGTCAAGGCCCAAGGCTTTGTTTACACGAAATTTCATATGAAAAAGGTTACTGAAGTAATCAGCTTACTCAGTCCTTACATAAAATTCATTCTCATTGTTGCCAGCTGTAGTATTTTGTGTACATAATGTTCCAGCTTGCTATGAATATGGCACATCTAGTTTAGTGAACTTGGTATGTAGGTGTCAATGGCCTAACATTATGTAGTAAACAAATTATGTTACTTACCTTAATTTAACCACCTCAGAACGCAGGGTCTGAATGTGATTGCTTAAATTGGATGCTGTATCACCATTACTAATGTCCCTAGCAAGAAAAAACTCCATTAATAATAAAACAATGAAAGTACAGCTAGATGCATGAAGAATTATTCAAATATGAAATAAGCAACATGCCTTGAAACTATAATTTAACATGCATTATATTAGAACTTTAAAAAATATTCAGATCTGGTTCTATGGATCTTTCACACAACCACTCTGAAATTTTCTTTACTAAAGGAGTTTCAAATCACTATTTAGGCCCCTTGATGAAAATTTCACAATCTGTGTTATGGTTTACATCCCACAAAATGAAAACATATTAGAAATAAACCCAATTCAAAACAACACGATGTATTTGAGTTAGAATGTTAAGATTTTCACCTAGGACTAGCTGGATCGGAGACTGGTTGGTCGAGCCTGATTTGCAGTGACCTCTTTTCTGCCTCCAATTTATCCATTCGCTTCCACAGCCTGTTCACAAGTGCCTCCTGCTCCTGTTCCAATGTGTTCTCCAGTTCCACCTGAACACATTTTAATGCTATATTAATGTGGCCTAGGTTAGAATTAAACTAAGATAGAACTATACGAGTTACTGATTTGAAGATCATTTATAATATATAGTGCAAAGAATGTTTCAATATCAAGTTTAAACTATTTACCTTTTCCCTACGAAGTCTCTCTAAGTTCATTTGCTTGGCAAGTGTCTCAGCTTCGAGTTTTTCTATTTTCCTCATCAGTTTGTTTACCAAACATTCCTGTTCCTGCTCTAGAGTTTGCTCCAGCCGACATTTCTCTTGACGCAACTGAAATACAAATATTAGACATTTAATTTACAACCAATTTATTATTAAATATTTATTGTATGTTTGTTCAGCTTCAAAAAGAAATGTTTGATATGAGATTGTCCTAAAACATATTTGGAAATTTTCAATTAATAATCCTATTAAGACTTGTTCTAGACATAATTACTAAGTAATTGAAACTTAAGCACACAAGATAATAGCCGTGATAAGATACCAATATAACTAAACAGCTTAATTGTATTATACTATGTATAGATGAATATTCCATTGTTAATAAAACTATATAAATGTTTTTAGTCTTTATCAGAAGGTCCAAAACAAATATATCTTCACCTATGGAAGTACAATATCAAAGTTTACTTTTGACTGACGATTCTAATAAGATTATTAAAGTGCACTTTTCAATGAGAAAAATGCAAAATATATGTGAATATTAGTCATGGTGATAAGTGTAAATTACTAACACTTTTAATAAACAGCATAATCTATATATATGAAACCCGTTTCCCGTTGTCACGCCATAACTTAAGAACGGCTAGACTGATTTGGCTGATTTTTTTTTTGTTGTGTTTGTTGTTGTAAGGAGAAGGTTCTTAAGACAAAAAAAATCCTGAAAATCCTACGGGAACAGGAGAAAACGGGATTGAGCGTACGAAGTCGCGGGCATAAACTAGTATTTTCATACAATCAGATATACATTAAGCTGCTGAATGTAGAATTTGAATAAAATAAGTAACATTGAGACCAAAAGTCATTATATTATAAGAATGAGCAAAAATGTAAAAATAAAACCAAATTCAATTTGAATTGATGAAATGGTACTTGCCAAAATGTTGCCTGGAAGACATCACTTTTAACAATAAGGTTACTATTTATATTCTTATTTTACTTATATTGATTTCTCTTGAAATAAACGACTGTGGCACCTGGCTACTATAAAATTACACACACATTGACATGAAGGATATGGCCTGACATTACACTACATACATTATGGTGTTGCAAGTACACTCACACACATAAACACCACTGACATTTTGGTGCTTCAATCATATCTAAGTGACATTTCGTCCACCTTTTTTTCAATGTCCTTGTATTTTGTATACTAAAAGCTCACATATATTTATTCATCAGGTACCTGATTTAGTTTCCTGGAGAGATCATTAGTAAGACATTCTTCTTCACGTTCATAATGGTGTGCAAGAGTCTCTTTTTCTTTCTTGAGTGCTTGAATCTTTTTCAATAATGTATTCGAAATATATTCCTCTTCCTGCTCAGCCTTAGCTTGCTGTAATGTAAATACAACCTCTTTAGTCAGTTTGAAGGTCTTTAGAGGTCATTTAATTAATTTTAAGAATAATTTACATTATTTGACTTACAATAGAAACTGAAGCTTGTCTCAAGGCACGATTCTCTTCTTGCAGGGCTTTCACACGGAGCTTATAGGTGTCCAGCTCCACTTTTAGAACCCTAAAAGTACATTTCCATCGATAAGCTAAATTATTTACATTTTCATAAAATTCTGCAATGCTTACTGCACCTGCTTGACAAATATAGCTACAAACATGGGACTGAATTTGCTTGTAAGAATCTAATATGTATAAGCTGTGTAAAAAAAAGACAAGATCAAATAACAAAATTTGAAGTAAGAATTCAGATTTGATAATGATCAGTAGGTATGAAGACTGGCTAAACATATTATACACACTACAGAAATAGAGAAACACATAAATACAATTAACATTGAAGAACTTTATTGCCCAATACTTGTACCTACATTTTGTTTTAAGAGATTCTGATGAGAATCCAATACAATATCGGCGAAAACATACCTATTTTGTTGTTGCAGAGATTCTATCCTTTTCTGTAACTGATCACGAGAAACTGTGCTAGGAGGCAACATAGCTCCGCCATCCAGCGAGCTGGAGTCGCTTTCAGACGCCGAATCTCCCATCTTATTACCTACAAATAATATGATCGATTACAAAAAGTTAAAAAAGAAGAAAATAAACTTTTCTTCGTGTTTTATCTGCAGTGTACCTGGTGAAATCACTGTATCATCCATTTGCACGAGTGATGAGGACGGCAACAAAATGTCATATAAGTTGAAATAAACTACGTGCCCCTATTTTATACGAAGACAATAATTTTTATACGATTTCCATCAAACTATTGTGGTAAAAACCAAAAGAAAAGCGAATTAAAGTGCAATGTAATAAATTAAAACACACGAAAACCGTATCGTTGTTTCAGGCTCAACTAGAGATGTGCACACATTATTTTTCTTCGAATTGAGATTAAATAATCGGTTTTATAAGTTTACGATGACTTATCGTCACATTGAGAAATAAAAAATTTATATTTAACCACTACCTTAAAATTGTTCTTATGATTTAATTAAAAGTTTCTTTTGTTTGAAAATACAGTATTTTTATTGGCAATTTTATCGAGAATATCCGCTATAGATTTTATTAATTTGGTCGAACATAGTAACACCGGCCGAAAAAAAAAACATTTATAAAAAAGTGACACACACGCCATAATGTAAATTGCTTCTCGATTTGGCGTTTGAGTTAAAAATTTTACATTTTGATGTTAAAAATTCGTTTATAATGTATAAATAAGACATTTAAAATGTCCTTAGTTAATATTGGTAAGAAGTAAATCCAAAGCCTAGACTTAATCTGTGTTAAACATTCTCCTTTCGAAGTATTTAGGTTGGATCAAAGGAATCGAAGCCATTTCGTTCTTTTCGTGTAAACGTTATTGAAGTTAAATTTCTTATTGTTCCTAATGTTTTAATCGCTAGTGGTGATGTTTATATGACGGACAAAAAGTTTAATTGAAAAGGTAATGGCTGAGTCGTCGCCATAGTTGAGGTGTTGGTACGATTTCAGAAGTCATTGCTGCTGTTATTGCACCGTATGTAGTGTTCAGGGAGTATGGCATAATAACTGTCATCGAGAAATAGGTGTCCCTCATAATTTATATCTGTTCCTGTATTTTGAAGTGTTAAGAATTAAAATACGAGTGCTTTAAAGTTGTTTCTACTGTTTGAAAGCAAAGTGCTGAGGATTTTTTGCCAGGTATTACTTGTAAACAAATCAGACAGTGCATGTTGTAATGTCTTGAGAAATTGATGATTCTTATATTCCTGCTAATTTCCTATACAATATGGTAAAATAAGCAATTAATTACTCTGGAAGAAATGTATTGCTATTTTTTGTTGTGATTACTAATTAATTTTCTAATGTTGATACATAGGTACTATTGTTGACAGTGACCTATACAATGATACCTATACATTTTATTTATACATCAACTGATATTTCATCCCACATCAAAATTATAAGAATGTACTATCATAGAGACACTATAATATTACAAGACAATATAAATTACTATTCTCAACTTGCTAAAAAAGTTAAAGTTCAAAGACATTCCAAAACAGTTTCAATTGTAGAATAGAATTATAGGAAATAATAATTTGAGGACATGCAAATATAGGCAATTAGAATTTAAGTATAAAAATTACTGCACCCCCATATTCAGTACAGTGAATAAACAGTATCCCTGTTTTTATGTTAGGTAGATATTTTCACAAGCATAGCATAAGGGTATAAATTCAATATTTGTACTTAACCATTTGTTTCATTTTCCTATTTAATTACACAATGAAGATTTTTTTATACATCTACAGTCATTCATAATGTTTAAGATGGTTATCTGATTAATTCTCAGTTCTAACTGGCATTCAGTTTTTTAGTATGATTTTTATTATATTACTTATTAACTCTAAATGAGGTTTTTACTATGATTATTTCAATGTTTCTCTGCTTTTTGTAGGATATTTGTGTTATAAGAATTATAATCTAAAGGCATTTTCAAAATTAACAGCTGGCTGGTATAATTACTTGGGATTGTTGGGAACAGTACTTTCTTTAGTAATCCAGGTATTAAATAAAGTTTAACACTAATGTGACTACCTTCACTGGCTTGTTATATGGCTATAAAGGTAACATTAGTCCTAAGATTAGTTTCTAAACAATCACCTTAGTTTCAAATAATTTCTCTTACTTTTGAAGCAGCTCTTTCATTATGTTTTCAGCTTACTTATGCTACTGGTTAATGAGAAACTCGACTAGTTTCTTTCTTTCTATAGTTTATTGCAAAGCTTATAGTTTTTGTGTAATAATTTGAGACAGGACTTTGCTATCATTTATCATGACATGGCATGTTTTCTGTTAATTTAGAATTCTTATTAAAATATGACTAAATTGAACTGAATATGACAAATGTTTATAACTGTTATCTTGATTATCCATCATAAACTTTAATTTTTATATTAATCCAAGTCCCATCTCAAAAAATACATAATTTAAACTTCCTTATACTTTTGGAGATGTTTTAACACAGTATTCTGATGAAATATTACTCTCAATAAGCATGTATCATGTGTATGTTTTTTAGGCTAAGCTCTAGCAATGGCTCAATATTACCAGATAGTTGGACAAGGCCAGTCATTGACTCTTGAGGATCTACAAAGATACTGCCCAAACTTATGCTTGGATAGGATAATAGTGAACCAAGATGAACAACAATATGCACAACAACAAGTAAGCATTATATCCCATTATTAATCGCTCAATTTTTATCTTTACACCGGAATGTATAAAACTTATTTTAATTTATTTTCAGGTTGTGGTACAACAAGCAGATCCTCAAAATGATATTATAGTAAGCGAGGGGGTACAGTCTCAGTTGGTTGTGAGTGATGGCTTGCAGTATCAACCCCAGTACATCATTAGACATGAAGCCCCACAACCTCAACCACCTCCACGCGCCGACTTCCAGCAACAACAGCAGCAGCAACAACAGCAACAGCAGCAACAACAGGCATTGCATAGGCACCAAGTGGGTATTGGTCAAATTATTTAACTATACAACATTGATTCTACAGGAAACTTAAACATGTTAAAAGCCATGAAGGAGTATGTAGTATATTCTATGATGTGTAATTTATTTGTAGGTTTACTACACATCTGATTTGCCTGTGGATGCTCAGGTTGTCTTACAACAGGCTCAACAGATCATTGATGCATCTTTGATGCAACAGTCATCTCCACAGCGACCCCAACATGTATGTCCCATGACTAGATCATTGTGTAAATTATGCACTAAAACAAACTATTGCATTATGGTTTTAGAACTTCTTGGTATAATATGCTTAGCATGTTACTATTTTCATTTGGTTAAATGATTTTATTTCATTTAGTTGAATAGAATTTTTATATTTCATTATCAAAATTTTGTGTGGAAAAAGATTCTTGGTTTCTTATTCTCTTCTTATATTGGCTATGAAACTTAACCAACAAGTATTAAATACATAATTTGTAATATACTTGGTAATGTGACTATCCATAAAAGAAGGAAGTTTAACCCAATTAATGGGACTTCAATGAGTAACCATACTTTGCAAAGTTGACCTGCATAAGAAATAATCTCCTTGGAGAGAACATCTGAAATAAAATTATGCCCTTTAATCTTTCACACATGCTGTTTGGCAATGTCTAACGGTGTAAGGCTTTATCATTCCTAACACAATACTACATAATACACTTTAACAGGGATCCCTAATACAGCTTTTATTCCTGTGCAAAAAATTAAGGAATAATTCAAGGACTATATACTATGACAAGCTTTCTTGTTAATTTATTTTTGTCTGTTTTTAGTAAATTAGATATTTTAATGACTGATGTTTATTGTGGATGTGGTTGTTTAGATGTAAATAATAATTATATTAATTTTTGTAAAATAGGTATGCTATGCTTCTTCGTAAAAAGGTGTATTTAATAAATGTGGTCTGTACAAAAACATTTCATAACCAGATGAAACTTAAAATCAGATTGGTTTATGATCTTTAGGATTACATGAATATCATATAATCAATCTATACAGATCTTACCTGCAGTTATTTGTGTTGGACATTTTTGTCATTTGATGAATTGTTCTAGAAACTGCAGCTATTTTTTAAATTAGTCTATTGTAAACAATTTTTAATAGACTTGATATTGAATTTAAAAAAGCGTATCATACTGGGCAAATGGGGGGAAGTCATCAAGGAAAGCACCATTTTCTAACAATCTACAGATTTACTTGTAACTTACAGAGTGGTTCATGCTTGTGCTAACGGTCCATGTTTTCCGTAAACACTAAAGCATGTGTCAATGGGTGTTTCTACGAAAAAAAAATACATTTACTTGATGGGTTGTTAACATTTTAGGAACTTGTAATTATATAAAATAAAGTATTTTTATGAGATTGCTTGAGTACTGTTACATGATTAAAATGTTCAAAATCGTTACGTGTTGAATACATTATAATTGATAATTAAATGTAGTACATAATCAATTATTTAATTTTGTTTGTGAGAAAAATTAATACTTCAAAATTAATAATCGAAGAAAATTACGTCATAACATGACATGGCGAGTTTTTTAAAGGAAAAAGTATAAGATTTTAACTACATGGAAACATCCCTAACTTTTGAGGATAAAAACAGCTTTACTTTACAATTTTTCGTAGAAACATCCAAAGTGTAAGATTTAATAGAATTGTATTGAAAGTGGTATGTTAACGACAGCAGCTAGTGAGCCCGGCGCACGTGCTGTCGCAGCCGACCGTGATACACCCCGCCCAGCAGCCCCCGCCGCAGCCGCCGCCCCCGCCGGCACCGCCTCAACATGCTCCGCAACAGACGGTATGATCCTACTAATATTATAAACGCTACAATTTTCCGGATGTATGTATGTTTGATGTATGGCTCTTTCACGGCAAAAATAATGTATTCTAGTGAATCTGGGCACAAAGATAGATTGTAGTCTGAAATAACGCATAGTCGCAGGTGAAGCCATTAGCAAAAACTAGTACTTAATAATATTATAATAGTACATGTGACATAGCTAAATCATAGTTGCTTTTGCTTCACTTATATTGTAACTAACTAAATTCCTTGGTTTCAAACTGGTGCTATTTATTTTGGGTGCCTGTGTATGTAGATTTTTG